ATAATTTCTACCATAGGAAAGCACACACCATAGACTCAACATTAGGCTTTAGTGGAACCAATGCAGCGAAATGGCATTGACAATAACAAAGACAAAGTAATACAAAGTAATGACATACAAGTTTGTATTTCAGTGTACGTTAGTTAATGCTGTTCAATTAATTGCTTTATTATTTTTCTTATGTAGAGCTTTATGACACTTGGAGTTTGCAAATATTTTTTTCAAAAAAAAAAAAAACCTACAACCACAAATTCAGATTCCCATACACAATTGGCTCTGATGATCTTGGTACCAATGACTGGTTTATTGCTCATTTTATTTACCTGTCCAATTTTCCCTGGTTTTCTCATCAGTGCTCATCTGATCCACCTGCTCTGTCTTCTGACCTTTGAGCCTGCCGGCCCCTGTTCTGATCTGTTTGCCTGACCTGTCTTTGCCCTTTGGATTATCCTGCCTTCCTCCGTCATCTGCTTGGATCTGATCTCGTGTCAATTCTGTTTCCTTCTAGGCTTCGTCGTCTGGACCGGCTGGTATCAACCTCGTTCTTTGGGCATGGACTCTAAACCAGAGTTACCTGCCTTGGACACCCTAGCCGCTGCAGCTTCAGATCTGCAAACTGTTAATTGCTGCTTTAAAAATGTTTTAAGTGATCCCACTGTTTGTCTTGCCTGAATACTGGGTCCCTCTGTTCTGAGTCATTACATTGACCGTTTGTGTCTGTTAGGTTTTGGATTTCCCACTAACGTCTCGCAAACAAGTTAGGAGCATCAAGTGAATAGGTGTGATCCCTAAGCTATTAAAACTCAGTTAGGAAGTCATGAAGAACAGCTTCATTGGTGAAAAGCTGTACTCCATTATTCAATGAAAAGATATCGCAGTAATCAACCAGAAGATTATGTAGTTTAACTGAATGTTATACAGTCAGTATACTGTATTTTGCTATTATACAGATGGAAGACTATTCAAAAATTTTTTGAATTCACTTTCCTTTTTATAAATATATGCTGGTAGCATAACAAAACCTTCACAACTCTAATAAAAAATCCTTTCCAGCAGGAGTCTGTTTAGTCCTGATGGGATAAGAGTCTGTGTGGCTTGTTTATTAGAAGAGGAGGTGGGTAATGGAAAATTAATGACAGGGCTTGATAAGCCAACGTTGATGATCAGAAACAACCTCAGGGAAGAACACTGCATGATGCCAAGCATACATTCTCTTTTCAAGCCTTGATTTCAAAGAGAAATTAAATCTTTGCTTCTCTTTGGGAAGGGAATATAATTGTTTGTCTGGACTTTAAAAAAGGAAATGGTTTTCCTAATGAGTTTAGAGCGCATATTGCTTCAAGCCGAATGAGTTCTGGTGCATTACGGTAATAAAAGAATTCCTTCTAAAGGCAGTATAAAACCTTCCCTCCAAACCCCTCTGAACGTGACTCGCATATTTATATTCATGAAAATAAAAACAATAATCTAAATGATCCCTATATTTCATGTCAATAAGATGCATCTGTATGTTTGGTGGGCTTCCTCCATAGCATCTGTGTTGCTGTGATGTTAAGCAGAGAGTTTGTAACGCTCTAAAGCTTTTAAGACAGCTGTCTGTATATTTGGACAAAGCTGCAATCTGTGCTTTGATTTTATTTGTAATTAGACTGATATCGCAGATAATTTCAGATATCATATTAGTTAACTATTAAATAGCAGTTTTACTAGGTGCAATAATGGGGTTTGATATTTAAAAGAAATATTTCTTACTCCAGAATAAAATAGGATTTAATGCATCTCTGAAGCCCACAGTGTAATCTTTGTTAAGTTTTTTCAGCTTACAGTAAAAAATATGCTTAATGTGTTGTGGTATCTTATCAGTGTAGCATTGGGAAAAGTTTTTAAACCCCTCAAGCTTTCTTAATGAACTTAATCATGTTTTAAACCCTTACAAACCAGTAAACCAAAGTGAAGTGAAAAGACAATTAGACACATAGGCATTCCTTTTCTGCAAAAAATGATGACATGACATGATATGTATTCAGTTTGTTCCATTCTGATACCTCCAAATAAAACGCAATGCTACCAGTTGCTTTAAGTAGCAACAAATTTGTAAAGAAAGTCCACTTGTGCATAATTGCCTATGAAGTAGGGCTGCAACTATTGATTATTTTGCTAATTGATTAACGTATTTTCTGGACTATAAGCCACTATTTTTTCCCCACGCTTTGATCCAAAAGGTGCGGACAGAGGAGGTGAAGTCAAAGTTGTAAATCTGTTGCACTGGTATTCTGGTGCCTGTAGCACCAGAATATCCGTGCAACAGGCACAGTGGAGAACAAATGTACCAAATTCACACATTTTGACAACTATTTGCCGCTTTAAAGCTGCCGAACCAATGAAGAGGCCAGGTTCAACTCCTGCAGAGCTGAAATAAAGAGCTAATGAAGCCCCATCTTTCAGTGGAAGCTCTTACTGCTGCGAGCCAACAAGCTAACGGAAGCTAGCATTCTTCGTCTATACTCTTGGTTCGATATGTAGAGCTCCCCCTACAGGTTTGGTGGTAGACAGTCCAGTAGATATCTGCGGCTTATAGCCCGCGGTGGCTTATAGATGTATGTTGGTGTGGCTTATTGTGAGGTGCACTCTATAATCCAGAAAATATGGTAATCTGCTGATTATTTTTTTTTATGAATCTATTAATAATTGGACAGCAACAGGTTAAGAGGATCCTCTATGGAATTTAAACCAGGTGAAGATAATCTAATCTGCTAAACTTGTTCTGAATAGAACACTTTGACAGGCATTTAAAAAAAAATCTAGAATGCAAAGTCTTTATAATTATTGGGTTTTTACAATTTTGGGATAATTACGACTCTGTCTGGCTTGCTCTTATAGCTAATGGCATTTTTTAAAAGTCTCTATGTCTGGCTTGCTCTTATAGCTAATGGCATTTTTTAAAAGTCTCTATGCTTTAGTTAACAATTCATCGATTTCTCATTATTACAATAATGGATTAATAGTGATTAATCAAACTAATCGTTTCAGGCCTACTCTAAAAGTATCCTGTGAAACCATTAAAGGTATTTTAGAGAAGATCAGTGACTACAGTACATATTATTATGAAAGCCAAGAAACACAGCAGGGAGGTAGGAGATTACGTTGTGTAATATTCCAAATTTTGACCATGTAACAGAATACTGTTAAGTCCATCACCAAAAATAACAAGAAGAATGTGGCACAACTGCTTACCTATCAAGACATGAATGACTCAGATAGGCAGAAAGGAAGTAAAGGATAACTGGATGTGAAGTAGCTGCGGAAATGCCACGCTTAACAGCAATACTAGTAGCATACCACAAATCTGTCCTTAAGGGAAACGTGGTGAGGAAAAAAGTAAGTAATAAAAAAAAAAAAAATCCTAGCACAGTTTTTCCCAAGCCACATATGTTACATAGCAGGCATTTAAAGGTCTTTATTTAAACCTATGTAAACTAAGACTGTGCAACAACCTGAACATTTCACCCCTAATAAAGTATGCTGGTGACATCATGCTCAAAGGATGATTTCTTTCAGCAGGGAGTAGGAAAGCTGTTAATTGCTATAAAATATGCTTTGAGCTAGATGAAGAAAAATGTTGGAAGTAAACCATTCCAGGACTTTTAATTCACAGAGACTGAGAATTATTAAGGTGAGGCTCACCTTCTAGCATGACAACAGCCCATAATATCCCATTCAGAGCTACTATAGAGTGATGCACATCAGAGGGTTAATCCTGTGTTAGAAGGGCCCAGTCAAAGTTCAGATCTTAATCCAGCTGATATTTTCTGACTATTCTTAAAGAAAATCCTATTTACAGTTGATTGTAGCCCAAATGAAGATTTGCTGCATTAACTAGGCTCATCATAACAATCCTTACACTTAAAAGTAAAGCTTCACTTGGTGAAGGTATGTCAAAGAAAGTCCCTTTAAAATACTTCTGAGTTAATAATTGCAGTGTCTCAAAAAAAATTGTAGTTACCTTATCAGTTGGAATTGCTTCAATCACAGGTAACCAGTCATTTTGTTTCCAGTCTTAGATTCTAGGAAACCTAAATAAAAGATTTGATGTATGATTTCCTTCTTTGGATCCTTTTCTCAATACATAGAAACTGCCTTTAAGGTATGTTCACACCAAAAGCAAAATTTGCATGTCAGGCAACAAGCACATCCACAACTTTCTCATCACTCCGTCATTTATGAAATCTAAATTGAAGTTTCTGATAATCTAATAGGCTCATGCTTGATGCAAGAAGAAAGTGTGACTTTAAGCTGTGTTTGTGTAGTATTGGTTACTCAAGCCATCTCAAACTCCCTCTCTGTCTACTTTTATCACATGCACACCCTCTAAACCAGCATAGCTGTATGAGGCGTCTGTCTGCTGGTGCTGATAGGGCAACATGTGGTTTCTCCTGTACACTAATCTGTCCTCCACGTGGTGAGTGAGACTCATAGACAAACCCTTAATATGTCTCTGGTAGGAAGTATGATCACACTGCAGACTTCCTGTCCCCTCTGGGCCATCGACATGCACAGCTCACATTAAGTATCCTCGCATACACACACATCCCCTTCAAACAGCTGTGACTCAACATCTTACTAATCAACCACAAAATTCCACACTGTGTAGCACTTTTAGAACAGAAGAGTAAAAAAGAAAACAAGAAAAAAGCCAAGAAGTTTGGAGGCTGGTCAGCAAGAAGAATCATACGTCACAGCAAGTAGACCACCTGTTGTGATGCACACTGGCAAAGCGGATCTATGGACCACACCCAGTGTCAGTGACTCATCAGCCCTGACCCCCCTGCTGTCCATTGGTGTGAGCAGATAGGAGGAGATGGCAGAGGGATGCAGAGACAGATAGACAAAAAGCGAAGATCGTAAAAAAGAATTACTAATGAGGAGAAAGAGGAGGGGGACTCATGCTCAGAAGCAAAGAGAGCTATGCAGCTAATCTTGACATCGTGGGTGGGACTCACCAGCTCGACTGAACCATAGTGTTTCCTGCTGAAGTCTCCACGCCTGCAGCCCAGGTCCTCTGAGGCGGAGCTGAAACACAAATGTATGATCAGACACATGGCCTACATAACACCACACACGCAGCACAGACACAAAGTGACATCACTCATACACAAGGGGTAGCTGAAGCATCTGATTTCCCTTTTATTCCGCTTTTCACACCCTGACTAGTTGTTCACTGACATTTTGCTCTAACTATGCTTGTGCTTGTTCCCTTCTGCCTTCTTAATGTCCTCCCTGGGTGCGTCTTCATCGGTGTGTAGAAGCTGCTGCTGGTGGCATGGTGACTGGCCTGAAGCAGCAGCCAACCCCCTGCTGATTGAGATGTCGGGCCTGATTGAATTAGGCCTCAGTGATAGATGGGGGACATGCTGGTTAAACCAACAATATGCACAACGCTTGAAGCTGCAGCTTCAATTTTGGCATCAGAAAACATAACATTGGAAGAAGGTATAGAAATAGTACTTTTTCTGTTTGGATTTGATTAACAGACTGTAAGTGGGCAGTGGTTCTACCAGTGAGACTAGTATCAGCAGTACAACAACCAGGGGCGGATTTAGGAAAGTTGGGACCCAAGACAAAGACAGGCAGGGGGCCCTCTGAATTGAGAATACAACACATAAAACAGACCTACAAATAGACATACATTATTTGTTCTATGTTTTGTCCCTGTCTTCTTGTTCCTTTTCTTGTTGTTTTCCTCTCTATGTTATGTACTTAGTTGACTTTTCATCGTGTCTCAAAGGGCATGAAAGATTTTTTTCCAAGCATTAAGCTCACATAGCTGAGTGCTCTGAAGTTCCTATTAGGACAGATGTAATGAGATTTGGTCAATACGAAAATCATGCTACGTTCAGCAGCAAAACAGGCGCCTGCTCCTTCATTTACGATGCTTGTACACATTAAAGTCAGATGCACCTCAAGAGCATCTTTGATCTTCCTGAAGCTCAAGTGTGAACAGATGCATGAATTATAGCAGAAAGCAGCTTTGCTATATTTGCTGTGAGCAGTGCATAAAAAGTAGCTTTAACGTTTTTAAGTGCCACCTTTTAAGTCCACCTCAAAACATCGTCTGTGCAGTCAGTTCATTAAAATTACCATCCTGCCTTAAAAATGTATTATTCTGTTGTCAAAGCCGCTCAGATCCCCACATACCGGTGTAGGCACCAGATCTGCACGGTTGGTCAGACCTGCTCAGGGTCATGCCCTGTCAACATTTTGCAACTCCACTCGAAAAAACGGTATTGACCCTTTTCTTATGGATCAAATCTCTTTTGGAGTCTCAACATATTAGTACCGATATTTGTTATTATTTTACATTTAATTTCCGATCTAAAGTAGCTGAGAGTAGAAAATAATCAAAGTCAGTCTTAAAGGAAAGTACTGCATTCTAAGACTGAGCTCTGTCATTTAACCGACATTCAGCACATGAGAGCGTGATGTTTTTATCATTTATTGGGCAACCAAAATGTTTTACACCATGTTGTAACATTCAGCCAACTATGTAGCGTAAGTAAAATTTATCCAACTCCAGCAGCTGCTGCTTGTGAAGCGGGTCACACACCTCAGATGTCCGGAAGCTCAAGATGCTTCGAGATGCGCTGCTCCTGTTAGTCGAGACAAGCTACAGGACCTTTTAATGCTCCTTGATGCGCGTCAACTATTGACTTTACATGTAAATCCGCTGGTTCTGCTGCTCAAAGCGCATACAATGTGAACGTATCATAAGATAATGACTTCTGATAAAAGCTCAAAAGACACAAATCAGTCTTGATGTTCAAAGCAGCTCGTTATTTATTTTTGCCAACAATATGATCCAGGCAAAAAGCGAACTGCAGACCATGATGTTACCTTACAACATAGTGACCATAGGCTATATTTACACTGCTAAGCCACAATGCACAATTCCGAGCATTTACAGTGTTTTGCATGCTATTTCACGTTTCCAAATATATGTGAATTCTATCTGATCCCCTGTGTGAACTGCTTCGTACAGCTAGAGTATCCCGCATGCGCAGTAGAGGACACAATGTCATCACAAGTAGTAAGTGTTCTCTGTTTTTAAAAGAAGTAAACATGGATGGTAGTGCTGGGGCACAACTAGCATTCAGTGTTGTAAAGTAACAAGGTAAATTCACTTAATTTCTCTACTTAAGTACTTTTTTTAGTATTTTAGAACTTGAGTATTTTTTGGAGGTCCTTCACTCCACTACATTTCAAACTTATATTGTACTACTCCACTCCATTTCTAGGAAGCTGCTAGTTACTTGTTACTTTTGGCTCAGCTTAGCTTTGTAATCTGCTGTTGCTGTTTTTCTTTCTTGAAATGTAATTCCAAAATGTAAGATAGCCGCCCTCAGGACTGAATTTGGACACCAATGTTTTAGAGATTTTATGACATTCCATAACTGTGAAAAACTTAGGGCCGATATTATTTGTAGTTTATAAATTTGATCAAGGCCTTAGTTGTTGCCATGTGGCCAAGTTGTTCAGTCTGATGAGTTCTCAGAGCAGAGTTGGAGTTTCTTTGTGGTAATAGACTGAACCTTAAACCTCTATTCCATAAGTGTGAGGAGAATCAACACACTCCTTGTTTTCTTTTTGGTATATTTCTTAAATAAAGAAGAATAGAAAAATAGCTTTCCTCAGCCTTTTTAAGCTTAAGTACTTTAAAGGTGTACAATCTGTAGCAGGTGGTTATACGCATCAATACATCAAGTGGTTTCTGAAAGTTACAAGGTTCTTTAAAATTATTAACAAAATTATAGAGAAATCTACTGATATTAGAAAATGTAATTAGTACTTTTGAATACTTAATTACTTTTAAAAGTGAGTACTTCAATAATTTAACCTGATTTGATGTTTGACTTAGTAACTTTTACTTGTAGTTGAGTAAGATTTGACTATGAGTATCAATACTTTTACCCAAGTGCTACTGTTGAGTACTTTGTTCACCACTGCTAGTGTTCTTCCATTTGTTTTCCAATCATAGTAAGTGAATTAACTAAATCTTTTCAAAAAGATCAAAAACAAGGCCTGCTCTGTACGTTATCACCCATCATGGCTCTCGCCTGCTGCTGTGTTGCAGAACGCTGAACAGGGACCTTTATAGACTAATAATGATGTTCAGGTCAGATGAATTGAAAAGATCAGATATGTAACGGATTTAGGACCACGTAGCCAAAAGCCTGGGTCGCATTTGAAAAACATCTGTTTCGTTCAGATCAGATGTCATGAAAAGATCAGATACAGGTCGGATATGGACAAAAAAAAAAAAAAAAATCGGATTTGGGTCACTTCAGGCCGTGAAAGTAGAGTTCTCTCAAACTCTACTTCTCTGTGTATCACCTTATCACCAACACAAATTCCTTGTGCATGTAAAACACTACCTGGCAATAAAAAAATTTCTGATTTTCATTCTAATTATGTTCTAACCATAAAAAACATCCCCTCTCCTTAAATTAATTTGTTTTGTTGCATGTTTGTGGGAGTCTTTTTTCCAAACATCTCAATTGTGACATTAAACTGTTATTTACAGATTTTATGGAAATATTTAACAAAATTAAAGTATTCACTTTTCATTTGAGATATCTGATTTTTACTCATTTTTCTGTTCTAATGTGAAGCATCCGCCTAGTGCAGCAAAAGCATGGAAACAAGAAACCACTGTTACAATGTGTACTATTACTAAGAAGTGAATGGTCCCCTGCAAGAAACATTTGTAAGAGCAAAGACATATTGCACTGCACTGAATTTTTACAGATGTTACCAAGCAAAACTGCTCCATACATCTTTTATAACACCTCCTTAGTTTTATTCTATATATCCGCAAAAATCTTCAGTGTTCCTAGAGCAATTTAGGGAGCAAAGGAGGCTTTATCTGGAGCCCTTCCATCTCCTTTTTGTATATTGGTGTTTTTCATTTAGTGGAAACTGGTGAAATTTCCAAGATCCATGTGAAAACAAGTTAAGTAAAAAAAAAATAAACAATAGAAAAAAGACTATTGGGAGATGAATATCCCCAAATGAGCCCAAGATCTTTTTTTTTTTTTCAATATGGCTGCCTCACATGCTGTATTGTTGCAGGGAAAGAAAAAATATTTGCATTTTGGACAGTTTGTAAAACATGATACAGTACGATCTGTATCTGCAAAGATTTTCTTCTTTTAATGTTTCACCTTAGTAAAGTAAAAGCAAAACTAGCTGGCTTCCCAAACAACAACAAGACGTTGTTCACTTTATTCTACATTTTCAGACGAGAACCTATAAAATTCATTCCTCAAATACTAGACCAGCCTAACAATATATGTAAACATGCCTTCCAGTACATCCAAAAACTCTCCTTTAAGGTGTCAGAATCGTCCCAAACTGCTCAGGCTAAGCCCAGTGATGACGCACCGGAAAAAAAACAAAGGGACCAAAGGTTAAGGTAAGAAGTGGCATGAGCTTTGCATGCTGCAAATCTACTCATCAATGCAGCACACTCAGCACATTGTTTTGACTTTACATAACAAACATTTACCCCCCCCCCCCCTGTGTTTTGCCTTTTTTAAAGCCACACCTGAGCAAATACCTGGATATTTAATCTGATACACCTGAACTAGACTCTCCCTCTTTAGACAAAGGGAATATGCCCTACTTCTACAGAGAATCTGTGGACTCAGATCTGAGGCAGTCCACATGCATCATATTCACCCAATAACTAAGTTATCGACAGAAAACATTGTGGCAAGTAAAAGAAACGAAAAATAAATTCCTACAAATAATAGAAATGAGACTTTAAATGGCAGAACATTAAAATGTCAAATAAATTTCGCCCCCAAAAATTATCTGAATTAAAAAGACAGTGACATTTTGAAGCTCAACCTGAAGGTAGCACTAATGGCAGTTATATGCTTTCTGCATTTTCTACAAAACGTAAATTTAATGGACCGACAAGCTTCAATGCCTTGTAAACATGTCTTTTTTTCTTTTTTTATGCCCCTATTTTATAGTTTTAGTGCCTCTACTTTGTACAACTGTTTAGGAAAACAACAAGAAGCTATTATTTTTGAACATATTCACTATAGGATGAAGCATCTCAGTGAAAAACCTCTGATCAAATACTTTTAACTTGAAATAATGAAATTGCAGTAGTTCTTTTGAAGCCTGTCCATATTACTTAAAACTGATAGTTAGCGTTCCTAAAGAACAGTTTCCCAAAACTTGATTCTCATTTTTAGTTATTCACTAATGATGATGAACAACAGCAGTAAATAGAACATTAGAGAATCCTAGTACATCAACACTAAACATGAGATGGCAGCATCATGCTGTGTAAATACATCAGTAGATATACAGGTTGATCGGAATTGATGGAAAGATAGATGGAGTTAAATTCAAGGTAATCCTGGAAGAAAGTCCCTTAAAAATAAACAGACTTTCTCCATTTTAGCAGGATAGAAACCTAAGTATACTTTGACTATAGCCAAGGCATAATCTGGACCTTAATCCAATTCAATTAAATAATTAATCTGTTGCAGAAGTTGAAAACCGATGTACACCGCTGTTCAATGCAGACTAATCAACTGAGCTGTTTTGCAAGGAAGAGTTCACTAAATTTTCAGCCTTTAGATTTTTAAAGTTGTTGAAGACATAATTATTTGCAAAATGTTTGGTATGCATAATATATTGATTAAAGATATCATTGCCTGAGATATCGAAGCCTTTACAAAGTGTGGCTCTTACTTACATTTTTTAACCTATTGTTAACCTTGCATTTCTTTTTATATAACTAGCAAATAGCAGTTTGCTCCTGCTGAAATCCAGGTCTCAACCCATATCTCCCCCTAATAGATCCTTGTCCTCTCAGAGGGCAAGGCTGTTTATGCATAATTCACACTGAAGCTTTAAGAACACATCTATGCATCTATACCACACCATATATCAATCACAGCACCTTTATGGTGTTTGCTTTTTATCTCGGCTCCATCAAAGCCTTTATATATTTTTTTCTTTGCCCTCCCTATTTTTCTCTTCGCACACAAGTCACAATTTCCTTCACCCTCCCCTATTCCTCTGCAGAGAGGGTCATACAAATACTGCATCTTAGGCGGATTTGATTAATAGATACAACCCCACCCACTGTTAGTAATAAAAAAATACACTTTTTCCCCTTACATTTCTTTTCTAGATTTTATGAGCTCATAGCATCCTGCAATGATTTAAGGTGCTCCATGTACATTTGGCGATGCAAAAAGGTGAAAAGAGTTGACTTTTTAAGACCTCGCTTTTACAGCCTGTCTTAATTCTTAGGTTTTACACATTAATATGTAATAAAATGTCTCCTAGTCATCATCAGGCCATAAAATGATGTCACTGCAGCCCTGAATGGATAAATTACACCTTATTATTGTACATATATATCATAAGAAGGATCTTCTTTGTGACAGTTTGAGTCTTCTACACTATTGCTATGATATACTGGACAACAATTTTTACACCATTGCTTTATTTGAGCTAGGGAGAAGTCCTCAAAATCTTTAATTTAATTTTTTACTTCTGTGCTGTAGAATTTGGTCCCAGTTCATATAAGGGAATTGTTCTCACATCTGAAAATAATAAATAAGACTTAGTAATATACAGCTTTTGGAGTGAGTGTCATGATTTTCCCCACTACACTTTATTAGACTTGGACTGGTTTATTCTTTGTTGTATCACATGTTAATGTCTTAAGACAAAACACAGGTATTCATTTGATACTGATCAGGGTAGTATAGTCACAAAGTTCGTAGGTGTGAGATGTTATTTGGCACGTTCCTTTTATCGCTGCATTTATTAACATCTGGGATTCTGTTTAGAAATAATGTTTCATGTAAAATTTGGAAAAAGTTTTGTCACATGATAAAAAAATATTATTTTAATACCTTCAATGATTTGTTTTATCCCACTGTTTTAGAAAATGGTACCTAGTATGAAATATTTTCCAGGGTATCAAAATTTTAGTATCTGGACAACCCTGCTAGACACAGATTCACCATCACATCCAAATGCCACATTGTTTGTCGTTTCTTTGACTTTTAAACAAGCAGACCATAAAATATCATAATTTGAATGTATGCTTCACCTGTGTTTCACTAATTTGAAGAACATATTACTAGATAAGGTCTCAGTAGCTGTTAGTAAGACATGCTCTTTTACATTATTCTACTCTAAATGCAAAGAACATTAGTTCCTGACAGTTAAGCAGAAAATGTCCTTTAGCACAATAATAAGCAGCAAAAAGGATTTTTTATTTCAGACAGAGAAGTTGTCTTTTTCCCTATATTCTGATTTTAACCGTTTCATTTTAAATGCAGGTATTAAACACATTCAAGAGGTGTACAACCTGTGGTAAACCAAGAGCTGTTTTTGTTCAACATTATTTCTGCGAAACCAGAGAGATAAAAACTGTTCAAGCTGTGCTGACATCTATTAGAGGAAGAACAAGCTGAGGGATTTAAGTGCTGGGAGGAACATGTACCTGTCAACAGAGCTATGGGAGGCACAGGCCACTAAGATTTCAGCATGAGTTTGTATCAGAATTGAAAACTAGATTTATGCCAATACTCACATGCTTGATCCAGAAAAGCAAAGAACAGAAAGTGAAAAAACCCAACATTTAAGTTCCTCATCTGAAATTATTGTTTAATTTAATTATTCTTTTTTTAAACTAAATTTCAGTTTTAGCATGACTCTGTTTGGAGGCCACTGTCTGATATTTGTAAGGTTTTGATGATTGCACCCCCCCTGGTGATACAAAGGGCATACACAACCTGTGTACATTGATTAGCAGATCCAATTTTAACCTAATCAAAGAAAGCCTTCTGTCTAACAATGCAAGTGTACAAGCACATACACCCTCAAGTGAAGAAATTAGGAACATAAAAATAAAAATAAAAGAAAATCTGTCATCTTATCTACTGATGTCTATTATTTTTAAACCTAATTTTGCATGCTGCAATTGTACATGAGCTACTTTGTGTATTAGTTGATGGTGTTGCTGTGTCAGTCTTAGGGCAAGCTGCACAGCACCTTTCGATAGTTAGAAGTAAAACAGCTCATGTGCCTGCCCCGCATTTAAAGCTGCTCTTATGATTCAACATAAGTACTTGAACTTTGCAATCCAGCATCCAGACATTCACTCACCAGCAGACTAATGGATGTTAGCCAAAGTAAAATGACTCTGAAAGCCCAGGCCAGAGACAAATAGCTGAGAAACAGACACAGGTAAGATGGATATTCATTACTGAACTGCTCTACTCTGCAATAGAGTATGGGAAAGGTTACAAATTATAGTTTCTGTCAAGGCAAAGTGGACGGTGGCCACTGAAATGCTTCATCTATGTAAAGCATTGCTCTGATCTGGCAGTCATCATTCTAGACCTAACCGTTTTCTATAGGAAAGTATCCTTTAATCATGCTTTATTAATTACAGACCATGTAATGTAATAATGTAGACTCATTAATGAATCTATATTATGGACTCTATATCAAAGAAAAGATGCATAATGTACTCTAATGTTACTGGAAACCAAACCATTTAAGTTGTTTTTTTTAAACAAAGAACATGGCATCATTAGATATCCAGCTAATATATAGAGAATGACAGAAATAAAACCAAACAGCTAAAAGCATATATGTTTATGGATGGGCTAGGATCACCACAGCAACACTGCAAGCTTCTTTAGAAAATTAGAAAAGTCACAGTTTAGGTTTATATTTGTTTACCTCGCTGGGTGCCAACAATTTTTGTAGTTCACCTCTGTAGTCACTCTCAGCGCTTCCAGGGAGGTTTCTTTTATGCTGTTGGTTAAAAGCCATGCATAGTATTAAAAGTTCCTCCAGCACTGAGTTCTAGGCTAAAACAATCTGGAAGGCTCAAAAACACAGAGCAATAATTATTCCGCAGTTTATTTAAACATGCTAGCTCTAATATAGAATATCAAATGTATACCAGCCTCTCTAGGAAAGGTTTTTTTCCTCCACAGATGTAAGATTGTGGAAATCCACCAGACTAAAAAAGTGACTCTTTCTTTTGCATACTAGTTATTATAGCAAAAGCTACATCCCAAAATTTTAACAGTGCATAAAACTATTACAAATGCAGTTCAAATTAACGTAAAAGTAGTTTATTGTCCCCCTAAAATCATACATTTAAATCCAAGCTGTTTTCTTGTGTGTACAAACAGGCTTGAGCGTTTATAAGCAGTGAAGTGATTTTGGCACTGCACAAAAACTCGAGTTTTCAATGTATAACACATAATAACATTTAAAGAGTTTAGATCAGCTTTCATAAGCCCCAGATAAATAGTCACAGTTATTTTCTCTAAAGAGTGTTACAGCCCTAGCTGACCTCCAATAGAAGATGACTACTACAATATTTGTCCCCCTTATAACCAAATAATAACTAGCTATTGGGAAATATTTTTGTTTTTACTAAACGACTTGGTCACATTGTTGAAATAGTAGCTACATAAAATAATATGTATAATAAACTAGATCTTAGCATATCTAGAAATAAGTAAAAAAATCCTTAAATTAAGAGTATTTACACTTATTTTGATAGTTTGCCAATGAGTATTTTTACTCTTAAAATAAGATAATTAGATAACATACACTTGAAATAAGACATGGCAATCGGGTTTTCTTATTTTAAGAGTAAATTGTCTTGTTCCATTGGCAAAGTGTCACCTTTATCTCCTAAATCCAAGAACAAATGCACTTATTTTAAGAGAAAATGACTTATTTAGATTTCGATTTTTTCCAGTGTAGGCACTTATGTTTGCTTATTCTGTAGAGCAAAACCATAATAACCTCTAAAATGTATTAATTACATTATTAGAAATCTAATTGCTCTAACCTTATTACATTAATTATGGTTTATAACTAATAATCAACAGGTTACTTTAGGTGCAGGATGGATAGCTTTTACTTTTCCGTTTTAAATAAACAGAACCACAGAAATGATCCTTAACAACCTCTTCAAGGAAGGAAAAGAAGTGGCCCAGCCTGTCAGTTGACTTTTATCCAGTTTTTTTGTATGTAGAAGTAAAAAGAGCTGCTGTGGAGCCTTCAGCTCTCCCAGTATAAAAAGCTGGACCTAACCTTGGACTGAAGCAGAATCAAGCTGCTCATTTAGATCATTGCGACCACATGTGTTATTCTCTCCCTCCCCACAGTGTAACTGAAAAGCATTTCATGAATAATTTATATTTCTTTTCTCCACATAGCAATATATTGTTTGCAAAAAAAAAAAAAAAAAAAATCTGATTTGCTGTGGAAGAAAGCATGACACCAGAGATATGGAGCAATTAACAGACTAATTACGCGGTGATAACGCAGAGTTATCCATACATAAACAAGCAACTAAATATCCTTCAAATACAAAAAAAAAAAAAAGAAACACCCAAACTTCCACTAAATATAATCAGCTATTGTAACTCATATTTGCGTAAACACACTGGAGCAGGTGTCCAGGTTTGCCTAAACTGCGCTGCGCTGCGCAACAAGCTGCAGGAATATGACAGAAACGACAGACAGGAGCGCAAGCATTCAACAGATGATCACGGACATGCATTCATTCATACAGGTGAAGGAGTTTGTTTTTTTTACCGCTGATTGAAAGTCAACAGTTTGTTAGAGGCTGGGTCCACGCTATTCATGTCCCCATGCGATGCGAGGTCCAGCGGACGAGGCGACAGCAAGCAAACCCGGTGCCTTTAGTTTTCTCCTAAGAGCGCAGGAACATCGCTGCTACGAACTCCAGAGGAAACAGCTGATCCCCGGCTGGTTGTCCTCTGGGCACCACTCTTCTCTCCCTGCTGAGAGGATGAAGCGGAACCACTTTGTCCTGGGAGCTGTGTGTTTGCTGATCTATCTCTACCTCCCTCTCTCTCTCTCATGTATGGTGCATTTCAAGTCCCCACCGTTTCTTTCTATTTTTTATTGCATTTCCCTGCGCTTAGTTAGGAGGATGTGCCGCAGGCTCTGCAGACCAAAGAGCAGCATTCAGAGGGGGTTTATTTCTTTCTTATTTGCAGCTGTTACATCACCATCAATTATGGGAAGGATTGTAGGGGATATGGAGCAGGGAGCAGCGGGGGGCCCAAAGCCTGCAAAATTAATGGAAGCATATTTTTACATGATTTTATTATCGTATATAGTGCTGATCAATCATCCACATCTGTTTAAGTTTGGCATGTCTTGCTTAAAATCAAAAAGTGCCTATGCTGCTAAGGATCCCCATAGAATCATTACCAAACAACCAAATCTGCAAAGGTAAGGTATGGAGAAAATAGAAGCAGGAATTTTGATTACACCAAGGAATAACCTCATGTTTTTTAAATAAAATAAAAATTTAAAATAAGATCCAAAAATCTGGGTTTAACTGTATGTTGGAAAGATGAAACATCAGCACCTTGGACAGCTTTAAAAAGTCTAGATATATCATTATGTTAAGTGTGTGCAATATTCATGTCAGAAATGATTGATTGTTGTTTAACATATTCCAAGTGTTATGAACGTGCATTCTTTAAGCTTATGTCATAATAAGCCATTTGGGATGTCTTGCTGTAGCAGGCCTTTACACCAAACATGAATTAAACTGCTAAAATGGCTACCTGTCACAAAGTGTCAGAAGTACAGGTGAGGAAGAAAGGAAAGAAGAAAATATAAAATAACATTGTCATCTCACCATTTAGCAGCCCTAATAGGTGTCCACTTTAAAGAAACTTCTTACGTAAATGTTGTTAAGAGCATGAACCATTAATGGTTTGGTATTTGTAATAGTTCTGTGAAATGACAAGGCACATGTGATCACATATTGGCAAATTCAGAAAAGTTGTTAACAATGATATGGTAGCTGATGAGGTGAATTGGCTCCCAAATCAAATTCTGCTTTTAGGTTGACCCGTTCTTGCAATGTAGTTAGAACTAAGGCTACAACTAAAAATCTTTTTGGTAATCAATTAATCAATTGGAAAAGGTTAATTGAAGCGTTGTTGCAGAATTTAGGCCAGGTGAAGCTAAAACTTTTCCACTTAAGGAGTTCAGGATAGGGCATATTGATGGACAAACATCCTAAATGCAAAATGTTTATTTTTTTACAATTCTGGTATAGTTACTGCTCTAAGATGATTGCTCTGGGAGCTAAAGTCTCTATACTCCAGTTAATGATTTATCAATTACTAAATTAGTTGATGATTAATTGATTAATCTGATTAACTCTTTCAGTCCTAATTAAAACATTTCCTCTGAAGCACTGAACTGAAACTGAAAGATACTATCAAGTGGACTATTTCTACAACTAGCAGATTTACCCTGACAAAGAAAAAACACAGATATGACAGCATAACGAGTTTCATTACATGATAAAAAAAGAAACTGTCTAAAAAAAGTGCACTGATTATAAGAAAAATGTTCCAGAGTCTGTATATTTTTAATGATGATGTCACAACAGCCACAAGAACAAAGCGGTGAGCTAGCATTAGTTAATATGATGCTGATCAGATGACTTTAGATTTTGACATATAGTCTTTTACACCAAACCTTGAAGTGGCAGAGTGTTTTCTGTAGTGGATCACATCGGTGTGAATCCATCCCGAACCAGACCAGAGAACCGTATGCTGGCACTGAAAACTTCTGATCTTGAGAAGGTTTTTTCAAAGCTGGAGAATTATAGGGGAATGACTCTCATCTGTTTTGCCATGTTATGGTTTTCCCCTTTTGGACTTTGAGTTTTCAGTTATCTATGCCATCTGTTTAGTTGATAATTGGTTTAGTTTCCATTTTGTGTTATATTTAAGCAGTCTTGAGTTACTCTCTGTTGCCCCCTTGTGCCTGTCTCCTTTCCCCTTGCTCCCTTCTAGTTACTTCTATCCACACCTGCTCCATATCAGCTGATTACCACCGTCTTTCTTTTGTCTCCCATATACAAGCTCCCTGTGCAGTTCCTCAATGCTGGGTTCTTGTCGTTGCATGGCTCCCCATATTTGTTTTCCCCTGGTTTTTGGTTTCTAGTATTTTCTCCTTGGATTATTTTTTTTTCTGTTGCCCTTTTGATTTCATTTAACCTACTAGAACTCATCTCTGCCTCCCTAATCTCTTCATTTGGGTCCTCAACCAACCTCCTTCTGTTATTGTGCTTGATGCACGATACTCTGCCCCTTCATCTGTCTGTACAGAACTTCCTGGTTTCCATTTAGCCATATCAAAAGTAACTGATGTGATGCACATCAAAAGTACATAACTGCATTTTAGTTCACTTTTCTGTAGTAATCCAGGCTATAAAAAATGTGACTTTAGAAAAAAAATGGTAACCTGTCTTTTCTTTTTGTTTGCAAACTAGTATTTTCTTTCCATATTCCAGTTGCTCTAGAGCTGAAACTGGTAGATATTTAGGCATCTTCAAAGCAAACTTGAAAAGAAAACAGGTTATATTTCTAGCCTAACCTTTATAAGGTTAAAAACTTAACAATAAAAATCATAAAATAAAGGGTTTAGATGTTATACAATTATTTCTGTTGTATATAAAAAGACTGATTGATACATTAATGTATCAGTAGCTGGTTGTTAATTTTATCTTTATGTAAACAATAATAAATTATAATCCCGTAGCATGAATAAACTCACAGTTCAGTTTATTTCAATAAAATTATCTTTATCTCTAAAGGGCAATTATGAAGCAAGCATGTTCATAGAGACACAAAGAAGTGAAAAATTTGAAAAATAAGAATCACCATGTCAAATTACTAAAAGGCAGCAAAGTTAGGAAATACTTAAGCCAACCATTAACGCATTTAAACACAACCAAATATGTCCATACACATACACAAACTGATATAAGGAAACTTGGTAATGCGTCTTTCTTTTTTAAAAGAAAAGGGTTTGGATCAACTACTTAAAATAATGAATAAGTTAATTTATTTTTGGTGGGGCTACAGTAAAAAAATTAATCTTCTGTAAAGAAATAAAAAAAACCCTTCCCAAACTGAAACAGATTTTGGTTGATTTAATTGCTCCTTGATATGAACAAAATCCTTTTGTAAAAGCATCAGAGCGTAAATGAACCTGAACAATGTGTTCCGAAATTACTTTCTGTTATAAATTTCTCTCTTTTATTTCCCCTGATAGTGTTGCCCTGCTAAATAGGTGCAATGTGACAAAAAGAAAAAGTATTACAGAAATTACAAAAAAATTAAACTCCTTAACGCCCACTAGAATAAATTGAAATGTCTTTTCTTTTGTCGGTGTGTAATAACAATAAGGAAAGCATCTGGAAAGCGGAGGACATTTAAAGAAAGCAGAGGATGGGGGAACAAAAAACATGTCAGGGTAGATTTTAAGTCCTCATTCTATGCCGTCTCCCTTTTTGACACCACTCGCGCTCTCAATTACAGCAGCTGAAACCTGAGCTCAGGTAAATCTGATACCCTCATTATGGTGCAGCCACAGCCTGTCTAAGCAGATCAGGCTTCATATATAAAGAAAACATAAAAGAGTGCAGGAATGCTTTGCCTTGGCTGCACAGCCCTCAGCTGCTCATTAATTTCAGATCTGCAGAAACGCCCCTCTGTGGGCTCCCACCACCGCAGGGAAAACACCTCAAGCTACAACCACGCCTGACATTTTTCCGTTTTATTTTTATTTATCTAAAAATAGAGCATTTTAGAATCGCAGCTGAGGGATTGGCAAAAAAAAAAAAAAAAAAAAGAGTCTTTAAGGGTAACTGGAGCTTGCATTAGGATAAAGTTACAGGAGTCCAAACTGAGACACCTGAACTCCTCCCCCCCGAATACGAATTAGTGCCCAGAGACAGCACCACCAACAAGTGGTTCATACACACTCTACTATGAAACACAGACTCCTGCACTTTGCATGAGGTCATCTGCCTCTTTTGAACGAGAACTTAGTCCTTCACAAGGGAAGTTAGAGGACTTCCTCTGCAAAACCTAGCTGTATATGCCCAAAAGGTTATCCTCCTCACATAAAGAGTAAGAATATTATGAATGTGACATCCTTTATGTATTTAAAGGTACATTTAGAAGGATAAATGTGCTTATCCTGAAAATAATATTTGTAGGTGTTACAGTAGATTTTCTGTAAATCCCTGGTCTAATATATTCTTAACAGCCCACCGAGATTAGTCAACAAGGTGTAGAGATACCACATTGTTTTAGTTGTCCTGGATAAGTATTTAACCATTCTCGTTGAATATTTATTTTTATTTTTGTCAGCTTTTATTGTCATTACTCTGTCAAAAGTACAGAACAATGAGATTTAACTTTGCATTTTAACCCATCCCTTTGGGGAGCAGTGTGCTGACATTGTGTGGTGCATCGGGAGCAGTGTGGGGTTAAGGGTCCCAAAGTGTCAATCCGTGCGAGTGGGGCTTGAACTCAGAACCTCTGGATTCCAAGCGCAATGCCCTAACCAGTAGGGAACCACACCGTCTCATTTTCATAACCTTTAGGCATATTCTATGAATTTTAAAAAGGAGGAGGCCTGGCTTTGAGGAAGGTCATTCTACAAGCCTTATGTTTTTGTGGTTTTCATGATCCATTCACAGAAAAGTTAGGTTTGTGTGTTTGGAGTTGTTTTTATTTAAAAGTCTGAGGTTTTATCTATGTAAGCCTGATGTTACTCACAGATGAAGAAAAACTGCCCGAGATGTTCAAGAGCTACCCAACTACCACCATGAGGCAAATGATATTACAGTTAAATAATAAATATCATAGTGAATTTGTTGTTGTTGTTGTTTTTAAGTAGATTTCAACAGTTACAGCGAAAGTGGTAGGTCACACTGAAAAGTATGAAGGTCACAGATGTCTGCAAGACCACTGAAGACTAGGGGTGGGTATTGCCAAAGAAGTCACGATTCGATTCGAATCACGATTCACAGGCCACGATGCGATTCTATCACGATGCATCACGATACTTGAATTATTGCGATGCATTGCCATATTTTCTCCTCCATGTTTTGTTTTTGAATGACTCGGCACAGTATCCCACGGCCGAAAATGCTTGTGACACAAGGCAGCGTGCGTCAACACATTTGCAGCGACATCTACTGGACTGGAAGTGGTATTGCACTTGTTTTTGGCTGATGTTCGCCAACCATTCATGCAATTTTATTTATTCATTTTTTAAAATTAATAATCGATTCTTGGCATCAAGAATCGATTCAGTAGATCACGAAAATTAGAATCACGATGCATCATCATCACGATTATTTTGCACACCCCTACTGAAGACTGGCCTTCAATACAGTGTAGGATTTCAGAAAAAAAAAAAAAAAAAAAAAAAAAAAAACTGGCATTGGTGTAAAGTAAAAAACAAACAAACAGGTATTTCTTACATTTTCATAATACCCTAAAAACGGGGGGTGGGGGGTGGGGGGGGTTTACCATTAGGAAATACTTGTTGGGATCTGGAGATCTCCCCACCTTTCTCCAGCAGAGGGCGCCCTACGTCTCCTGGAGCTGAAGCTGACTACCAGACCTGCGGCTGTTTTGCTCATCAGGAGGAGCAGCATATAAGCAGTGGCAGAACTACTCTTCAGCGCCAGAGTGTTAAGCTAGTTACGGTTAGCAAACCTGAGCCAACCAGCCTGTCTGATTCTCTGACTCCCAGAAACCCTGACTTGAACCTAACCGGTTTTCTGTCCTCTCTGCTTCCTAGGAAGAACCTGACTGAGATCCTGGAGCTCTGGAAGAGCTACTCAACTGAAACCTGCCTGCCTGCTCTCAGTAACAGACCTGAAGATCAAACTGTCTGGATCTGTCAGCCATCCCTCAAGAAGCAACTTGAAGGAGCCCTTAACACTCACAGCCTGAAGCTAAGTTCTGTCGCTTCCAAGCCCTCTGCCAACGTTCAGTCTCTAGACCCTCCTGGTTCCCTCCCTCTACCGCTCAGCCTGAATCTCTGAACAGGTACAGATCTGCACATTCTCTCAGCTACCTGATCATTAGCTGCCTGGCTAACCTAACTGTCCCTCTCTGCAGAGAGCCATTGTGTGACCAGTCCCGGATGTGATTCCAGCATCTGTCATCTAACCTTGAGTTTATCATTGATTCCAGAATCTGTGAAACAACCTTGTGCAAACCTTTTAATAAATTGTTAAACTTTACTCTGACTCCTGGGTGTTCTGCATGTGGGTTAGAAACTTGAATCCCAACATGACAATACTAGCTACTGGAGACTTTGGCGACAACATATTAAAGCACAGAACTCTGCTCTCCTGAGCAAGTAGATTGGTAACCCCGCCTCCTGCTCTCCTCTATCTTGCTTTCATGATTCATGCAGCTATTATTTCATACAAATGAAAAATGGAGAACAAATAAGCAGATCATTGCTTGTCTACAGTGAAAACAAGGACTGCTTTATTTAGTTTTGGCGTCACCTTTTTGGAAACACAGGAAGGAGCAATCAGCTAAGTGAGCCTGGAGCTTGGAAAAAAGAGAGCATGAAAACTAAGAACAAAACATAGAGAGGAAAACAACAAGAAAAGGGACAAGAGGAGAAGGGCAAAATGTACAACAAACAATGTATGTCTATTCTATTAAAATTTCTGTATCTGTATAATGGGTCTGTTTTGTGTTTTCTCAATTCAGAGGGCCCCCTGTCTGTCTTTGCCTAGGGCCCCAAATTTGCTAAATCTGCCGTTCCACCCCAGAATGTCCAAAACGGTAGATTCAATTTGTATACATGGCTTTAATTACCTTTGCTCTGCTAAATGACCCCCCCCCAACCCTTTTCCTTTTTTTGTCAGTTGAGATTTGTCAGTATTGATTTGGAAGCACACAATAAGCTGTAAATCTTCCGCTGCGTGGAGCCTGGCAGAGCTAAACTATCCCAGGCTCTCTGCTCCCCAGACAAATTAAACTTCAAAGGCGAGGATTTAAACGTAGGTGTAGGCATTACAGCGTGTGGGTTTACAGTCCGTGTGTCCACAGCGTGGATGTGAGGCTGTGGATCTCAGTTAGGATAACTGTGTGAGCAGTCAGTCACGGCTTTGGCGCCCAAAGTGCCTGAATCTGCATGAAATGGATCAGGAGCTCTTGATTCAAAAGTGCGATAATCCCTATGAGTTAAGGCGCCTTCCTTTTGGACAGGTGCCTCTCGGGTCCCAGATGAAGAAAGTTCACCTTTCCCATGCTTGCAACCTGCCTGGCTTAAATAATATATATTTGCTAATATTTCTTGTTTTGTAGTTGTAAGCAGATATAAAACACAAATAAGAATTGAATAAATCCTATGCACAGTGTATTATGCAAAGTAGACAAGAAGCTATAACAGCGGAACTGTTATCTACCACCCATGCCGTGATCCAATATGCAAATCAAACACACCTACCATGATGGGTCTCTTTTGTTATAAGTGGAACTACCAGTAGGAAAAAGTCATAATAGGAGTTCTCATTTTCCTACAGCATTGTGTTAGACAGTATTTCTGCTGTGATGTGGCTCAGGAAGATCACATTAAACCACTGCTTCCCCTTTCAAACATTCAACAGACATCATTTTTCTGGTAAGCAGCCACCTGTATTCCCCTCACGTGTTGTCCAACAGGGCAAACAGACTCATAGGCGGTGGATTTCGATCCAGACCTTGGCCTGTTTGTTTCTGGCGAGTCTCAAATGCCAGGGAGTCACCACGTGGCCTCTGTGAAATGTCACTATGTCAGGTTGCAGCAATTGATAATGGCGATCTCATTAAATGTGATCTGCTGAATTAACCTTTTGTCTATAACACTCAGGCAGTCTCTGGGCACCACTCAGTCCTCATTCCTGCAGCTAAACATCCACGTATGCATTCATGTAAGTATTAGCAGAGGATACAAGGCTGCTACAGGAAGAAAAATTACAACAAGTGTAAGGCAGAAAAAAAAGCCTGAATAAAACCTGCAACTAAATCCACCTGTTCTCCAGATGAACATCCCTGCTGCGGTTTAAAATGCAACAAGCTCCTCCAAGAGGAAAGGTGAGAGCAATGCATCAAGCACAACATTTCAAAACTATAAAACCACCATGAAGAAAAACAATAATTCATGCTTTATTGTTTTTTTTTTTTATTTTATTTGTAAAAATAAGTGTGTTAATACCTGTTAGGAAGTCCTTTGTCTCCCAACCTTGCTGCAGTAACACAGCATTGTTTTTATGGGAACTGTCTGCCACCTTGTGGCGATGCTGTCTAATCACATATTTGCTTGTGGGTAAGGTAGAAAAGGCCTAACTCAGTGTATAAGGGGGGTTCTCTGAACGCTACTGCAACACTTCTTGATATTTCAGTTTTTTGGCTGGGAATGTTTTTTTTTCATTAAAAAACATTGTCTGCCAGTGCAAACATTGTTAAGATGATAAATAATATTAATTACAAATTCAGCATCAATGCTCTAATTGACTGCTGGTGTTATATCCATAAAGCAAGAGTTACTGGGCTTTCCAGTTAACGGCCAAAGCAGGAGCAGCATCTTACATGTAGACAAAAGGTAGGTTCATGGATGTATTTATGACTATGATACTTCAATAAATGTATTGCCTGTTAAACCCTAATATTACCTGCTTGTCACATGTCTAAACAAATGGTTTCCCAAACAATTTATCTAATTAGGAGAGTTCTTCTGTCAGGATGAAAGTAATCTTCCTTATGTACATGGCAAAGATTTGGGAATGAAATGAGAGCAGTGTCGTTTATCTAAGAACAAAGTGTAATATTTTGATAAGGCTGGATCCATGAATGTATTCTCATTTCTCAAAAGTATGTGATGTAACTTCAATGAGATGTGAGCCTGGTTGGTGAGCGCTCCCATCTGTAACCCTAAGCAATTTCTCTGATCTGAGTAAGATTACAGTTTCTGTCAAAATCTGTTGTCACGTCTCATAGTTTTTTTTTCAACATAAATGTTATGAAAAGTTTGCCCCGGGTGATCTTTTCTCAGGAAAGAATCAAGGAGAGAAAGCTAAAAGATGTCAGCACAGAGCTTTCCTCTAACTTTAATAAAGTCTTTGATTAATGATTGCTGTATTTTTCCTCCTGTCTCAGCATACTTTATAATGTTTATTAATGATCTTAGTCAACACCCTTTTTAAGAACTCAAATTTTTGTACATTGACAACCGGATTTTTCCCCTCTAGCTGGCCAGAGTGTAAAAGTCTATGACTTGTCTTTTATGGCCCTAAATTCCTGGCCGTACCCCTGGCCATACTTGTATGCTCTTCTTCCCAACTTGACTGTCCATTTCAAACTTTTTAATTTTTAGATGCAACTGATTGATGTTTCATAACGCTGGAGGAAAATTTTGATATCCACTGCTAGGAAATTGGTAGCTTTGAATGTTTACATCTGTTCTGACGTTAAAAATTAATGATGACCATTTATAAGGCCTATTGGACTGACACCATCTCATTGCTGCTTGTTTTTTAAGTGACTTTTTTTTATTTTAAAACAGTTAGGGTCCAAAACAGTGTAAAGTTCTATGTAATTCTCTACTTTTTATTGCATGTTTTCAGTATTTCACAATGTATTTAATATTTCCGTTTTCTGCCAAAATCAATAATCAGTTTTAGATTTTTAATTACAGCATCTAATGTAGCATCACTTCACTCAGCACAGAACATCAGAGCTAGGAACTGTTGGAAGCTGGAGAAGTACAACCTTTCTCCAGCAGAGTCCGCCGTGGATCCTCCTGAGCTGAGCCTCCTTCACAGCTGCAGCTCATCCCATCATCAGAGGATCCACTACTTAAGCTGTCTTCAGAACTTGCCTCAACGCCGCAGTGTTGATCCAGTTGGTTAGCACTAAGCCTAGAACCTTCTGAGAACTTTGTTGACTTTTGAATCCAAGCTGGATTCTAACCTCTGTCTCTGTTTTCCAGGAAACCAGTCTTTTCTCCTGTGAAGCTCTGGAAGAGCTTAACCTGCCTAGCCTGCCCTCTGAGCCAAACCTGAAGCCTGCCTTTGAACTTCCATGCAGCCTTGGATCAAGAGCTGGAGACCCTGAGCTTAGCTCTGTTCAAACCCAAAGAAGTAAGACGCTGAAGCAGCTGTCGGACTCTGCGAACCAAACTCTCTCCAGTTCCAACAACCTTCCTCTCAAAGCCTAAACGTGGACCCTCAAGGTACAAACCAGAAACAATATAAAGACAAATCCCTAAGTGCCTCGCTAACTGAACTGTCTTCCCACGCAGACTCCGGTGAACCCGTGTCCCTGGACCAGAACCAGAACCAGTATTCATTGTGCTTTGTGACAATAAACTCTGTTAAACTTTTACACCTGTTTCCGTCTAGTGGTGTTCTGCATATTTGGGTCTCTTTTGAGAACCCATCATGACAGGAAAGCCTCATCCAGCGGCTTTATGACTAGATATATAGAATTAACATTTAGTTCAACCTCCAGTTGATCGCAATCTTATTTCAAGTAGATTCAAGTTTCTTCTGCATAAACATTCATGTCAAAAATGGGCTTTGTTTTTTTTCTTATATCTTTGCACACATGGAATGAAAAGTTACTCATTTAAGTTATATAATAAACGGAAAAACTAAAGACAGCATAAAAAGACACCCCTTTCAAAACTAAACTAAAGCTCAGTCTGAAGCCTCTAGAAGGAAAACAGTAACGGCTAATGATCCTAGAAAAAGATTCAAAGAGGACTTAACTCAGCTTTTACAGTTTTACAGAAAGGAATCTGCACATGGAGAACATTAAAAACAATGTTCTCCTGTTGATATGAAACTACATGCCTATACAGTCCGAAAGAGGCTGTGCAATGTTAACTTTGAAACATTTAAGCCAGAATTAAGTTTTCCAGATTAATTTTAAACAATAGACCGCTACTGCTGGAATGATGTCCGATGGACAAATTGGCACAAACTGAGAGGGGAACCTCAAGAAAATGTCAGATAAACCGTAAATTAATTGAAATAGAAGCAGAAGTAGGCCCTCCAAGCAACACAATGACCCAAAATAAAGATTGGCCAAAAACTATAAAAGGAAATGTCCTGGGTCGAGTCAAAGCCCAGGGCTTAATCTGATTAATGCGATGTTATGGGACTTTGACCAAGCGGGGGAGTAGCACCCTAGTGGTTAAGGCATAAGGCTTAGTTTCCTTAGGTTGTGAGGTTGAAACCCAC